ATACCCAAGGTTACCTAGATTTTCTGCTTTTATATTCTGGGAGTTTTATAGTGTTGCATTTTATATTTAGGTAGATGAGCCATTTTGAGTTAACTTTTGTGAAAGTTGTAAGGTCAGTGTCTAATTTTTTTTTTTCCTGCTTATGGATAACTTAGTTGCTCCAGCCCCATTGCCGAAAAGATCATCCTTATTTACCTCAGACTTTTTTTGTCTTTTATGTGACAATGATTTTTATAGTACCATTTAAAAAAATTTTTTTTATAGAGAGAATAGAAAGATTATTTGGTCTTTCCTCTAGCATTATTGATGAAATTTTATTTTTGGAAATTAAAAAAATTTCTCTCAACTGTGTAACTTATTATGCAAACCCAAGTTCAAATGCCATCTCCACCAAATGCTAGCTCTTCCGTGACCTTGGATATGTGACTTCTATCAAGCTTTAGATTTCTCATCAGTTAAATGGGAGTTCCACTTTTAACCTGTGGCTCTTTCCTTAAATCTGGACTTGCACTGGCCTATATGGTAGCCACCTACCACATGTGGTACTGAGCACTTGAAGTGTAACTAGTTTAAACTGAGATATAAATGGAAATACTCATTATAAAGATTTAGAACCCCCCAAAAGAATCTAAAGCAGATAATTATTTTTTTGTATTTCATGTATGTCAAATTACAATATTTATATACATTGCATTAAATAAAATGTATTATCAAGATTAATTTCACCTACTTCTTTTTATGTCCTTTATGTGGCTTCTAGAAAATTTAAAATTACATGTATGGCTGATGTTGTATTTCTATTGGGTGTTATTTCTTTAGACTTTGGTATCCATTATCATGTCAAGAGTAAATTAGAATTCAGTTTTCTAAAAATATTTTGTACTTTCCACATAGAATTCCACATAGTACATATTATTTCCCCCTTCTTTGGGCTTTAAGTAGGATTTGTCAACTAGAACAAGATAGATATTATGATGACAATTTGCCTTTTAATAAGGACATAAAGAGGATTAATGTAAAAATAACACAAAATACAGGGCAAAGAGCTTGTCTAGATCTGAGTAGAAGTGGGGAGGCAGAGATGTATTTCTGATAGAGGTAATGAAGTTTAAGTTTAAGGTTTAGTGCTCTTCACTTGTGTGGGTTCCTTCCAAGGCCCTAAGAAGATGCTAGTAATGTGTTCAGAGGGTCTTGTATTTCGCAGCTCTTGAAATAGCAAGATGCTTTAACCACAACCAATGAAAACATCTGACTCTCTCCACCTTGGTTTTCCTTTTGTCTTACTCTACCTTCTGTCAAATGGCACCGGGGTGATCACAGGCAATTTTGGGATCTGCCTAAGATAGGTTGATTTAGGGACACATTGAAATTAGGTTTAGCAGGGTATATTTATGTGGTTTGTGAATAATGAAATTGCTCTGGTTGTTTCATTTCAGAAATGGCTCTTGGGAATACTCCTCACCGCACCCCCCCCAAATGTTGGGACACTAAAGTGAAAGGCAAGAGTTGGTATTGAAATATGAACTTGTCTCGTGGTGCTTGGAAGCATAAGTATGTGGTAACTGGAGAGGAGAAAGCTCTATATAATATTTAAAGCCAGAAGCTGGTCTGTGGAAAAGTCTACCAATCAGACAGTAAAGTTGCAAGTGGATGTTTCAGTTTTCATCGGTTTCTTGTTTAGAGTTAAGATCTGTTCTGCCAGGAATATATTCTGTATTACAGTGCATACATTTACACATTTACTATAGGTTTTTTTTTCTTTTTTTTTTTGGTGGGAATAGAATGAAAGTGATTGTATCATAATGAATTTGTAGGGCACAGACTGAAGCAATACAATAAGAACAAGAAGGCTTCTTTTGGAAGTCACACACATGTGACCGATCACCATGTATTTTCAGTATATTTCCCGGGAGAAGTCTTTAAAAAATGGATGCGACATTGCTCAACATTATTCTTAAAGTGTGGTGAGGATTCTTGGGGGTCCCTGATATAATTTTGGTGTATCAGTGGATTACTCTTCTAATAATGTAAAGATCTTATATTGCCTTCTCATTCTCATTTCTGAAGAGTATATAGTGGAATTTTCCAACAGCTTGTGATATTGTGATAGGTACAGATTGAATGCAGAAGCAAATATGAGAATCCTATCTTCTATTAAGTCAGACATGAGGGAGATTTCAAAGATAAACCCATTTTTTCTCACTAAATTTTGTTAACTAAGTTAAGCATTCTCATTGAATTTTATAAAACAGTATTTTTAATATAAAATGTGTTATTCCTATCAAAATGTAATTTATTTATTACTGATATCTTTAAATGAATGAATAACTAAACATTTTAAATTTTGCATTCTTAGTTTCTACTATCAAAAATGTTCTCAATGATTAATTACCCGATAACTCCATTAGGTCTTCATTTAATTTTGTTGAAAGCTAAGAATGAGAAACTACTGAGTTGCCAAAGGTTATTTTCATTCTCAACACCAGCACTGATATTTGAAATTCTTCATTTGTTTTGTGTTTTGGAGATTTTCTATGGCTAATTTTCCACAGTAAGATCTATGGTAGGTGAGACATAGGCTTTTTTTTTTTTTTTTTTTTGATGTTGGAAAAGAGGCTACATAAGGAGAGAAGGAAGAAGAGACATTCTTGGACAAGGTCAGTCTTTGGAAAGTATACTCATGGGGGTTAAGAATGGAGATTGTGCCCTCAAAACCATCTGTTTGCCTGTAATTCTTGGAAAGTCTTCAGGTTCCCTCAGGAGTAGCATGCTCCAGGAAGACACCTGGGCTAGATGGTCTAGCTGGTAATCATACACCTAAGCTAGTAATTAAAGCTCAGTGAGGAAGTATAGGAATGAAGGGTAGGGCTGGAGGGACAGGTAATTTCAGTTGGTTAGAAGGCTACTGAAAGTCAGTAAAATGACTTTCGATAGTGGGGCAGAGTTTGCAGAGCACTTGAAGGCACTACCTACTTCGATAATTGTGTTAACCTATGGGACATTTATAAAAGGAGTTTTTGTTCTCATTTTATAGATGAGAAAAAGGAGGCTCAGAGAAACTTTTTTTTGATAAAGGGTCATCTAGGAAATCTTATTTTTAAAAAAGATTTTATTTATTTGACAGAGAGACAGAGAGTGAGCACAGGAAGGGGGGAACAGGGAGAAGCAGGCTCCCTGCTTGGGTCAGGACTCAATCCTAGGACCCTGGGATCATGACCTGAGCTGAAGGCAGATACCTAATCGACTGAGCCACCCAGGCGCCCCTAGGAAAACATTTGATAGCACTTTGAATTAGTATTACATGACACTAATGGAAAAATATTTTTGGAAAATTGAATTCTGATTTACTCTCATTTGGCCATGAAAATCTTGACAATTCATGAATGTGCCATTCAGATTCTGCAAACCTGAAACACTGTGGCTAACAAACGTTTAACCACTAGAAAATCTTTCTCAAGTTTCCTTGGGCTATTCGAGGTCTTTTCTGGTTCCATATAAATTTTAGGATTATTTGTTCCATTTATTTGAGAAAAATTGATGGTTTTTTGATTGGGATTGAATTAAACATGTAGATTACTTTAGGTAGCATAGGCATTTTCACAGTATTTGTTCTTCCAATCCATGAGCATGGAACATTTTTCCCTTTCTTTGTGTTTTCCTCAATTTCTTTCACGAGTACTTTATAGTTTTCTTAGTATAGATTCTTTGAAAGACAATTATCATATGATCTCCCTGATATGAAGAATTTGAGAGGCAATGTGTGGGGTTTGGGCGGTAGGGAAGGAAAAAATGAAACAAGATGGGACCAAGGAGGGAAACAAACCATAAGAGACTCTTAATCTCATGAAAGAAACTGAGGGTTGCTGGGGGCAAGGAAGTAGGGAGAGGGTGGTGGGGTTATGGATCTTGGGGAAGGTATGTGCTATGGTGAGTGCTGTGAAGTGTGTAAACCGGTGATTCACAGACCTGTACCCTTGGGGCTAACAATACATTATATGTTAATAAAAAATAAAAAATTTAAAAATTTAAGAAATCTTTACCTGAAAAACTTAACATGGAATATATTTTGTGGGTGTATATTTGGATTTGTTCCATACTGATAGGGCTGATTCAAATATAGTAAGGAATTTTTTTTTTTTTAAGATTATTTTTTATTTATTTGACAGACACAGATCTCAAGTAGGCAGAGAGGCAGGCAGAGAGGGAGGAGGAAGCAGGCTCCCTGCTGAGCAGAGAGCCCAGTGCAGGGCTCGATCCCAGGACCCTGGAACCATACCCCGAGCTGAAGGCAGAGGCCCCAACCCACTGAGCCACCCAGGTGCCCCATAGTGAGGAATGTTGCTAAACCTATCCATGTCTTTCCTTGGTGAGAGTTCTACTGGAGTTGTGTCAATCCCTTCCACTCCCTCCCACTCTGAATGATAAACTTAAATAGGATTAAATTCTACTTTTTAGATATGTGGAGCAAAAGAATCACCTTTGGTGTTTATTTCATGTCATTTCTCAGTTTTAGATATACCCAAATTAAGCATTACATGCCCAAATCACTAATTCTGTATATAGGCAACCTGAGGCCAGGCTGTATGATTTATAATTCTTTGTTTCCACTTCCCGTTTTAGATGTGCTTATAGATAATTAAAGCTTATGGGAAAGAGTGGGTAATTTGTTGGTTTTGAAGAAATCAGAAATTATCCTTACATTGCTGGATATCCACTCCATGACTGCCTTGCTCCCTGCTCCAGAGAAAGTCCTCCACCTGCAGCAGGATCTAAGTGTCCTTGGGGAATGTAGTTTCTGCAAGGGTCTGCCATTCTATCCCCAAAGAAGAGAAAGGGTCAGTTTCAAAATATGTTTAATATGTCTATCTTCCAGATCCAAGGTGGCATAATGTTACATTTCAAAGGCAAATTTATCCATTTAATTATTTTTTTCAGAAGTCATTAATTAAGAGTATGTTTTCTGAAATTTCAAGAATGTTAGGTAAACTAAGAGTTTCTTCTGATACTCTCTAGTGTGTCTCCATGACATGATCAGTGAGGAAGATTCTCATGTATCACCACATGTGAGGAGGCTTAGTTGAAAAAACTTGAAACAGCTTACTGAATTCCTGGAAGAAGATAAAACATTTTTTAAAAGTAGGTAAGGGTATATTGGATTTAAACATTTTTACTTGAGATCAAATTTCTTTCCTAAGAGCAAGAGTATCAACATCAAATCATTCTTTTGTTATTTCCAAGGACATTGATTCTAGACATCCCTGCATGTTAAATGATTATCTTTGCTTCTTGGTGCTTAAAGAGCTTAGTTTTGCAACATTTCTTAAGTCCCATCTCAGGAGAATGGCACATGTGTTCCCCTACTGTGCTAACTCCCATCTATGACTAGTGGCTGCTTGCAACAGTATGTTAAGAAGATTTAGGCTGATCCATGATCAGTGAGTGGACAAGAATATAATGATTGATTAACTGTCTCTGCTGTGGGCCTGCATACGTTTGGGGGTCAGAAGACGATGAGGAAAGGAGAGCACAGTCTGTTTTCAAAGACGTCTCCATCCAACGTAAGATAGAAAATATCTTATGCCAGCAATTAAGTGTCTCCTTTCTGGGTTGATACAGTAGGATTGGTGGCCCAGTAAAAATATTCCCTCACATTGCAGGAATCGATTGTGAGTGTTAAGTAAAAGGAATCCTTGATTTTATTAGGATCTGCATTGGGCAAGGCAAGACAAGGAGCTGTTTCCACGCTGCGGGTGACCTTCCTGAGGCATTTTCCTGGCTCAGAGAATTTACCATTTGGAGACCCAGTGGTGGTTTCCTGGGTGGTGTGCATGCCCTTTTGGATGCCTGCAGGGGCGGTCACTCCAAAGTCATCGTCTATGTCACTGGGAGTTGTGGAAAAGCCCTCTGGAATTCCCTGGACGGCAGGATTCACTCCGGCTTGCCCTGCAGGAAGGATTCCATTCTGGGCCTCTGGATTAGCTGGACTGGTAGGCAGGCTGGATCCCGGGAACAGTGGCTGAAAAAGGAGTCCTGTGAAGATTTGTGGGGCCACCGGCTGGAAGGAGAAAAAGGAAAGGCAAACAAAGTCAAAAGGACACATTTTAATGCTGGTCAACTAGCTTTTTCTTCTTTGAGGGCAGCAAGTTGGGACAGGAATGGTAGGATGGAAAGGATAGAGTTAGAGAAAAATAATAAAGATTGGGCATTTTTCAGAAGAAATTCCTCTCTCTCCTGAGCAAGCTGATGCTGGTTTCATGACTACAATTCGATGCTGTATTTTATTTCTCTCAGAAAGGAAGTCACAATCATGGGAGAAGGAATAATGAATAATTTGTTCATCTTGGGTGTATTTGGAGGTAGAATGAGGGCAGGAAATCCATACACTTATGCTGGGTTATCTCTCTGCTATTGACCCAAATTATAGTCTCTCTTTTGCCCAGAATTTTTAAAAGTAATTTAAAAAACTAAAAATTAATAGAAAATTAATTAGTCAATCAACCCTCATCCTATGATTTGCGTCTCTTCAAGTTTCTTTTGATTTATTTTTTGAAGGCATTGGAATATTCAGGCAGAAATAATTCTCTTATCAATTCAGCAACTTGTATATTCCTTGAGGTTACTCAGTGAACTGCTCTGTGTAGGTCTGTCAATGATTTGCATACTAGAAATAAATGTTGTTGCTGCCTACATTTATTTTTTTTTTCCTGGAATAAATTACCATGAGAAGTTCCTCTTAAGAAGAAATAATTTAGTGTAAACTGGATTTGGAAAAAGTTCAGGCAGGGACTTGTTCTCTGAAACCCCTCAGTTCTCATTAGAACTGAAAATAAAATAAAAAGAATAGAACAGAATAGAATAAAAAGGGTTGAGATCTCCCAGTTAAGATACAGTTCAGTTTCCTTGGGCATGGTTCCTGTTACTTTGTATAAGAACTGCCTGATGGGACGCCTGGGCGGCTCAGTTGGTTGGACAACTGCCTTCGGCTCAGGTCATGATCCCGGAGTCCTGGGATCAAGTCCCGCATCGGGCTCCCAGCTCCATGGGGAGTCTGCTTCTCCCTCTGACCTTCTTGCTCATGCTCTCTCTCACTGTCTCTCTCTAAAATAAATAAATAAAATCTTTTTTTTTTTTTTTTTAAAAAGAACTGCTTGAAACGTTTGTTTAAAAGGTAATTCCCAGGCTTCACTGCTAGAGAGATTCTGATTGAGCTGATCTAGGGCAGGATCCAGAAATCTGCATTTTTTTTTAAGATTTTATTTATTTATTTGACAGGGAGAGATCACAAGCAGGCAGAGAGGCAGGCAGAGAGAGAGGGGGAAGCAGGCTCCCCGCTAAGCAGAGAGCCCTATGCTGGCCTCGATCCCAGGACCCTGAGATCATGACCTGATCCGAAGGCAGAGGCTTAAACCCACTGAGCCACCCAGGTACCCCAGATATCTGCATTTTTTATCAGTACCCCAAGTTGTCTCGATTTGGTGGTCCAAGACTAAAGTTTGGGAAACACTGTCTTAGATTTACCAGGTTCTATAGCTAGAATTAAACTTATGCCAGAGAGAGACAGGAGTGGAATATAGATGTTTTCAAGCAGGGGGTCATGGCATTTATAGATTTGAAATAAAGAAGGTGGTAATGCCCATCATTAAAAAATAAGACATAAAGAATAGACTATAAATTACTGAGTGTATTCTATGTGGTAAGGGTAAATACTATTTCAGGAAGTGTGTGTGTGTGTGTGTGTGTGTGTGTGTGTGTGTGTATGTTAGCTGCATGAAAAATAACTGTTACTGTGGGTTTTACTTAAAAAAAGTTTGATGGTTATTAAGGAGGGCACGTATTGCATGGAACACTGGGTGTGGTGCATAATCAATGAATCTTGGAAAACTGAAAAAATAAAATAAAATTGAAAAAAAAAGTTTGAGAACCACTGGTACAGCAGATAGAAAAATGACTTTTGATCTGAATCTACTATTTCTTGACCTTGGGACCTAAGTAGCCTAAGTTCTCTGAGCCTCAGTTTTATTATCTATAAAGCTGGGTTAAAAATCTGTGCTTTGTGGGGTGTCTGGCAGATTCAGACTGTAGAGCATGCAACTCTTGATCTTGAAGTCATGAGTTCAAGCCCAACGTTGGGCATAGTTTACTTAAAAAAAAAAATCTGTAGTTTGTAATTTGGTGAGGATTAAAGGCAATGTATGTAAAAGATCTACCAAGGTGCCTATTACACAAAATTGGCTAAATAAGTGGTAGATGTGGGCATTCATGTACCATTGTTGCAAAACAATCCCATTGCTTGATTTTGTGAACAATCTAGCAAATCTCTACCTTTTTCACAATAGAAAGATTTAAAAACAAACCTGTCTTCCCAGATATTACCTTGACTTAACTTCAGTGTCATGTTAAGGTACCACAGTAATTCAAGTCATTTTTTTCCTAAAAATGACTTATGGGAAAATGTATAGAAGTGTCTGATAATGGTAAGATGAGTCTTACTATTTAGTTCAGCCCTCTAGTTATTCATGTGTGCAGGAAAAGCTCATCTGTCACTATGGGTTGCTAACAAAAGAACATATTTTCCTATAAAAATAAAAAAAATTAAGCCAAGAAAATTAATCTTTCCTGCAATAAATACCAATATATATATTATTCTACATCGTATGCTTTTAAATAATTTATAATCCTAGATTTTAATCATATAAAGTTAAAAATATGCATTGAATTTCTGGATAGAACTGAATCTAATATCAATATATAGAAAAAAAAAGCTAAGTCAAATTAACGGAAAAGTAGTTGTAGAAGGAGAGTGAAATCCTCAACTAGACAAAGGTATCTTAATGCAAAGATCTATAAAAAAGTTCAGTTTATAGCAGGCATCAGGTTTAGGGGTTGTGGTCAAAAGAGACTGTGTGGGGACAGAAAGCAAGACTGTGATTGCAGTGAGAAGAATTTGAAATGCCAGTAATTAATTTTCTTTTTACCAATTCTTCTGAGCTTATGATAGCACCCTAAAAGAAAAATAATACACAAGTTATTAGACAAATTTTAACCTTTTTGAAGCAAGATATGTATAACATAATTTAAAAGCTTAAAACACTTGTAAAATTTGTAAAGAGACATTTTAAATTTAAAAAAAATTTTTAATTGCCTTTATGATTGTTTCCCATAATTCAAGTCAGCATATGATATTGGACTAATACCTAATATCTGAGTGATGTGAAATCTTCTGCATTTTAAAAGTTATATACTTTTCTATTGTTAAGTAATACATGCATATTGGAAGAAACTTGGAAAATGCAGAAGGCAACAAAGAAAAAAATACCATCCCATCATACAGAGTTTGATGGATTTTCCTCCAGATGTTTTTCACACATTTCTTTTTTACATAATGGAAGCTATTTATATAACTTATAAAGTCATATAATTTGGGTCTTACTTTTTCTTTTAATAATATACCCACAATCATTTAACCTTAGTAATGATGAATTCAAATAAATGTACTATTTGAATGTTCTCAAAATATTTGCTTTTACTTTTGCACCATCTGCTCAATCACTTTCCTTTTGTTTAAATTTAAGTGGCACCCAATTTTTTTTCTCTACCACAGATATTATTTTGAGAGATGTATTCATATGTAGACCTTTGCTGTATTTCAGATTATTTCACTGAGATGTGTTTCCAGCTGTGGAATTAAGAATTGATAAGAACTTTATATCTGACTCTGCTTTCAGAAGTAAAAGCTACCATCCCATGCAGGTCATATATGATCTTGACCCTTGGTAACTTTGTCAATGATCTCAAGTATTGCCTTTCATAAAAGCAAATAGGGAGAGAGGAAAATGTTTGTATCATTTTTAGGGAAAAGATACATAGTTAATAAATAGATTTGAGATTAAAAAATAAATTCCCCAAATCATCAATCATTAGATCAGTCCCATTAACTTATTTTTTTATTATCTGTATGCTTTGAAGGACTGACTGGTTTACCCATGACATTTACTAACTGTGATTGTAACTGAATAACTGTATCTCCAACTACTCACCTTCAAATTAGAAATAAAAATATTATCTTCAAAAAATATTATCTTCAAAAGTTGTTTTGAATAAAGAGATAATATGTAACAAATAATAAAATACCTACAATAGTGCCTGGTGCTTAGTAAATGTTCAGTAAGGGCTAGCTCATTATTATCAGTTCACACAGTGCAAAGTAAATAGAAAACTTGGCAATTATCTGGTAAATTGAGGGAGGATGACATATTTCAAACTAAGATGATTTAAAATAAAAATCATATCACAAAATAATCTTACATGGGCTCCAACGTGTGCTACAATAACTGGTAACATCTGAAAAAGAGTGAAAAATTCAATTAAAATATATCCAAAGGTAAGTTCTAGCAGATGACACAGATACTGAGATTTTCTTAAAAGCATACGATATTCACTGAAGAAGTATTTGTTACCAATGTATCAGCTATAGTCATAGATAGAAACCCACAGGGTTGCTTGGGAATTGGAACTCAACCAATTTGTAAAAAGCAGGTTTAGACCCAGAGAGATTTAAAACTAGTACACGGAAACACATTCAGGAGGTAGAAGTTACAGAATTGGACGGGCAAAAAATAATTTTGGTCTCAAGCTATCTCCAAACTGAAAGTTATTACAAGTAATAATGACAGTAGAAGACATGTTAAAAATGGATTTTTGAAATACAAAGATTTATCAAAGCATATATGTTTAGTTTCATAATGATTACTTGGATATTTTGCTGCTAAAATAGAGAACTGGTGGAAAATTATGGATGATAGTCTATCATCTTGATACTGGCAGTGTTCTTAGAACTAAATGAGAAATACTTTACTGGTCACTGAGAACCACTTAAATGTTATGAAGTTTTAGTTGAAAAGGTTTGGGTGAGGTGTTGGCATGCTGTAGTCCTCGAAGAACTAACCTAGAGTTTGTCCAAGTGAACTAGTGTTTTAAAGTTTATTTTTATTTCTATAGACATTCTCCTAGTGCCATGAAAGTCATCTAAATGGGAATTCTAACACTAACCAATGCAAAAGATGTGAAAGTCTTAAGAAACAGACTCTTAGTTTTGTTATTTCCCAAGACAGTTTGTTCAGTAATACCCAGAATGCCAAAAGGTACGTACATTTAAGTATACACATTTAAGACAAAGCCTTACTGTCCGTCAGATCCTTGGCTACTGACAATAAAAAAAAGCCAACCAGTCTTTAGAATGGTGACCGGAAAGTCGGGTGAAGGGAAGGGGCATGGAGGATTTGGAAAAAAACCATAATTGAGATTTGTTCTTTAAAGCCCATTTCAAAGGAACAAAAAGATACAAATAGGAAACCACAAATGTGTCAATAAAAAGTGGAATAAAAGATAATTTATTTGTTCACTGACACAACAAAAAGGAGAAAAATTTTTTATTAGCTTTTGGTAGAGATATTGTTTGAAGTAAAAATAGCTAACACTGAGTGTTTACCATGTGGTAGGTACTGTTTTAAGTGTTTTATGTTTATTTGCTCATTTAATCCTTGGAACAACCCTAGAGGTAGGTTCTACTTTAATCACTATTTTAAATCATGAGGAAAATGAGCCACGGAGTGGTGATGTCATTTGACCACACACAGTAACTAGAGAGCTGGATTTGACCAGAGTTTTGCGGTTCTAGAGTTTACCCTTAACCACACTGGCCTTGCTTTGATAAGTGAGAGCTATGGACGGGTGCCCAGGTTTCTGACAAGGATGTAGGCCACTCTGCATAGGGAGACACAGGACTGGAGGGCTGGGCCTGCACGGGAGGCCAAGGAGGTGTTGGCATATGCTGGAGAGACTGAAGAATCCCTACTGAGAATGGGGACTGATTTACATTAGTGCACACTAACACCAGACTCTCTCTGCTCGACCTCAGTGACATCTGCAGTGCCTACTAATGCCTTGGCCTCCAGTGGATATTCTTTTTTTTTTTTTTTTTTTTTAAGATTTTTATCTATTTATTTGAGAGTGAGGGAGAGTGAGAGAGAGCAAGCACGAATGGGATGAGAGGTTGAGGGAGAAGCAGACTCCTCAATGAGCAGGGAGCTCGAAGTAGGGAACCCAGGACTCTGGGATCATGACCTGAGCCGAGGACAGATGCTTAACCCACTGGGCCACCCAGACACCCGGCCAGTGGATAGACTTCGGTGAATATGAAATGTACTAAATTGGGCTTCAAGGTTAGAGCAGGGCAACAGTTGAAGCTGAAGCTGGGGAGGTAGCATGTGGATTATTCAGGATCATGTGTTAAAGAGACTCATTTTATTTGCCTGTATCTCTAGTCTTTTTTTAGAGGATCACTGTTATTATTAAGATCTAAATAAGCAAAAAATACTTGGAGTGAAGGCTCTAATATATCTGTAAGAAATAAGCACTGGTTGATAGACATGTAAGTATACATCTCAATATTTTTAAAAAAATGTAAGAATTAGTTATGTCACAGAATTTCACAACTATGAAATAAATGAAAAAGTGGAGAGTGTCTTGTGTTGTTATTTTGGACAAATGAAAGCACAGAGGAAAGCATTAGTTACATATGATATAGAATTTAAATTGAACAGCTTCAAATTGTTTTGTCAATTAAACTCAGCTTTGATTATAATTACTAATTAATGCAAGCTTACTCTTATTAAGACCTGGAGGTGTCCTTTGTGGTAGGAGGATGGTAAGAATATATTCGTTCATTGCTGTATTCATGTTTCATAATTTTGAAATGTATTTTAAAAGTCTTATAATTTTGTATGTCTTTGGACCCACAAATACTGTTTCTAAGAACTGGTCCTAAGGAAATAATCATTGATATGCTCAAAGACTTATTTAAAGGATGTGCACTGTAATATTATTTACAGAAGCAAAAGTTTTGATGAAAAAAATCCCAATTTTTGCAATATGATGGAATACTAAGCAATCAATAAAAACAATTTTGTAAGTGAATTTTCAAAGGACAAAGACCATTCAAAATACATTAAGTGAAAAAAATAGATTATAGGACATTAGACATAGTAAGAACATATTTCCTTTAAAAAATATACTTACATGTGTAGAAAAAGGACTGCAAGGACATACCCTAGAATGCTGACCATGTTAAGTGCTGGTTGGTAGGGTTATGGGTGAATTTTATTTTTCTTTTTGCTTTTCTACATTCTAATTTTCTATAATTAACACACAATACATGTAATACATAAATAGCTTCTAAAAAAATTAGACCATTCTGTGGGAATGATGGGGGCTGAGTTCATGCATAGAATAAGTGATCTATAAACAACTTAGTCTAGCTGCAAAGAGATCATTGTGTTTTTCTCCAAGTCATTAAGCTAGTTAGAGAAGCTTCAAGATGCTGAAACTTGGGCTTTGTCTGTAGTTAAGATGCAACACTTATGATAGGAGTGATGCTATATGCATTTCATTTAAATCCTAATGAGAGAGGGTTTTTCAGGGTTTTTCCGGAAAGCAAGTGATGATGGGAGGGGAGAAGGAACTAGAGACTTGTTGGGGAATTGAGAGGAGGCATGAATTGAGAGCATAGAAAAGGAGATTAGAATTGCTGGAAATAAACTTTATCCATCTCTCAATTTTTTCTTTGGGATGATTCTGGCCACCCAGAAAGTCTTTTATAGAAAACAGCAAGGTAGAAAAGATTCCTGCTACCTCTCGATTTCCCTCCTTATATTCTTTACCTTTTAATTTTCCCCAGCACCTCACATTTTCCCGTTACCTGTTACAAACGTATTTTAGGGAGGTTATGAGGTGGCAGGCTGTTTTCTCCGTGAATTTTCATCAAGGACCAAATTACCAAAGATGTTCTATGTTCAGTTGAACATTCCTCTGTAAATTTCTGGGCAAAACCTTTTTCTAAGATTTATTTATTTATTTGAGAGAGAGAGAGAGAGAGAGAAGGGGGAGCAGCAGAGGGAAAGGGAGAGAGATCCCCAGCAGACTCCCCTCTGAGCATGAAGTCAGATGCAAGGGTCCATCCCAGAACCCCAAAAACATGACCTGAGCGGAAAACAAGAGTCTGATGTTCAACCCATGGAGCCATTTGGGTGCCCCTCTGTGTAAGACTTTTAAAACCTTAAACAAATTCTTTCCTTCCCTTTTAGGCTTCTACCTGATAGAAAATGCTCCCCAGTGTTGAACTGAACTCCCGTCTTGAACTTACTTGGGATTGCAGCTGCTGTTGTGTGTTCAGTACCCCCAGGCTCAGGGGGAGGGTCTGGGTACCAGGTGGCATCTCTGCAGCAGGATTTAGCTGTTGGGCAAAGAACAAGATCGTCATTGTGTTGTTCCATGTTGAACATTCGAGAAACTAAAATGTATTTATTAAACGTAAAATACGCTTAAAGGGAGAATTTGCTATGCAAATATATACATTTACTACGCACACCCAAAAATAGTATGTGATATACTACTGCACTAGGAATTAGGTGTGGAGATGAAGTTCAGGGACTTATTTAGTCTACTAGTATGACCATAAGATCCAGGACTAACATTTCCCATATGAACCCATTCTCTTGAGGATTACTTGAATGATTTTATTCTCACTTTCCACTTTTGGCTATAATAACTATGGTTCCTGAGATTTTCTGATAGCTTTCTTATAAAGAAATTAATGTTTTCATAGGCCTCCCCATAAAAATGGTGAGGGTCACAATGAAATATCTAGCCTGAGTACAGTCTAGTATTATGCATAAATCTCACCACCTTAACCAGGAAAGGTATTTATTATGTTTCTTCTCGCAAATAGAGTAAATTATACAGATAGTCCACGAGAAGAATGAAGATCTTTCTTACCCCTTTGAGTTTATTCTTGTTGGGGTGATGATAGTGGTCATAGGTTTTGTGTGGGTGTGTGGACATTTTAGGGACAGTGAGGAAAATATGTTGGAAGAATGTGCAGAGGAGCCAGAAGAAGAGGTAAGAAGAACTAAAGCAGTTAAAGACATGAGAATTCGATTCATTCCCTTAGAAGCCCTTCTGCTAAGAAAAACTTTTTATGATGTACTGAATAGCACCCCATGCTCTGACTTTTCTGTGTTCTCTTTCAACTTATCTACAATAATAGTGTGTGTGTGTGTGTGTGTGTGTGTGTGTGTGTATTTGTGGATACACTCAAATTAGGTATTGTATTTAACAGTGGATATTAAAATGATATAAAAGAGTACTTACCAGCTGCAGATCTGACCCTAGTGTGAACATCTGCGTCAGTGGTATCAGACTTAAAGAGGGGAGTACCTGTAGGGGCATTGAAATTGATGTGAGACCAGAGCTTGTCTGTTTCCACCATGCTGTCAGTGGCAGATATCCTTGTGTCTATACTCCCAATACAGGTGGATTTAGGATGAAGGTAAATGGAAGTAAAGTTTTGGGGCCTCTCACCAGCTTTGCCTCCCCTTCTGTGGCCCCCAGTGGCACCCTAGCAATGTGTTGAGTTTAAAAATGTGTAATTGGCTCTTATTTCTTATCTCATAGTAATTATTCACAATGAGATACCACCTCACACCTGCAGAAGAGCTAAAAATAACAAGTTAGAAACAAAAGATGTTGGTGAGGATGTGGAGAAATGGGAACTTTTCTTACACTGTTGGTGGGAATGCAAATGGTACAGCCACCCTGGAAAACAATATGGAGGTTCCTCAAAAAGTTGAAAATAGAGTGACCCTACGACCCAGCAATTGCACTACTGGGTATTTACCCAAAAGATATAAACATAGTCATTCGATGGGGTATGTGCATCTGAATGTTTACAGCAACAATGTCCACGATAGCCAAACTATGGAAAGAGATGTCCATCAAATATATATATATATATATATATATATATATATATATATATAAAATAATATATATATGAATACTACTCAGCCATCAAAAATTGAAATCTTACCATTTGTAACAATATGTAGGGAATTAGAAGATATTATGTTAAATGAAATGAGAGAAAGACAGAGACCATATAGCTTCACTCCTATGTGTAATTTAAAAAACAAAACAGATGAACACAGGGAAAGGGAGGGAAAAATAAAATAAGATGAAATCAGAGAGGGAGACTCTTAACTTTAAAAATCAAACTGAGGGTTACTGGAGGGGAGGTGGGTGGGAGGATGGGGTATTTGGGTGATGGGCGTAAAGGACGGCACTTGGTGTAAGTACTGGGTGTTATATGCAACTGATGAATCACTAAATTCTACCTCTGAAACTAATAATGCATTAAATGTTAACCAACTGATTTAAAATAAAATGAAATAAAGACAAATTATATACTTCAGTACTTAATTTTACATATCTAATTCTGTCTTCCCTTTCTTAAACCGCATCTTCAAATTGTATAAGCTTCAGTCAGATTCCTTAAGGAATGAGACGGGGTCCTGTCTTGAGTGCTCCCTAATGTCCACAAACTAAAAAGAGAACCTTAGACTTTGGTGTTGTACTATTTCATAAAGTCTAGATGTAGGTAAGGAGGGATCCTTTAGAGCAGAGCAGTTGTTGGAGTTGTAAGAAGGGGGTAGCCAAGAGACAATACAGTTTACAAAAGTTTTTACATAAACAAATTTTACAACATTAGCTCATTGGTAACAATGGAATTTAAGAAAACTACAAGGAAATCCAGTTAGTTTTATAGAGCTACCTTAGTCCCTGCCAGCTCTGGCAGACAGACCACATACGATTATGTCACAGTATTGCAAGGGCTTTGATGACCAAGCTTTGTCATTAGGTGTCGCTCTTGCTTTTCAGGTTTTACTGTTGGTTGCTAAGCCAAATTATTATTGAGACAAAAAGAAAAAGAATGAAGATGATTTGCTTTTTCTGCTCAAAATTTTCAAAAAATGTGTTGGTTCTTTTTGGTTGTTGTTGTTACCAAGAGAAAGTCTTTTTCTCTTGTTCAACCATGAGACTGTGTGTAAATCTTGATTTTAAATTCACTATTCTTACCATGTTTCCTTTGTTGGTCTGCAAATGTTCCCCACGGTAGGACTCTCACCTGATTTGGCTGCTGCTGGTTTAGTAGTGTTGCCTGATGTGGAGCCGGTTTTGTTGGAGGAAGTCCCAAAACAGGGTTGAGCTGCGTCTGTAATAACAAATATTAGATCAGGCAGTGATGGGTCTGAGGTTTTGTATCCATTTATCTCCAGATGTAACAAGATGTCCCAAATGCAGAAATGTCTGCCTTTAGGCTTTGTGTGTTTCTGAATTTAACTGCCTGGGATGTTTCGTGTATGGCAGGAGATGAATTGTAGAGTGGAAAAATGCCAGAGCAGAGGGTAGTGTAGGGAAATATGTAGGGTGGGGTTGGGCACATGGACCTCAGATAGTAGTTCCTAGGCTTCTTTCTCTTTTCTGTAACTGCCTCCCTCCTTTTTCAGGACATGAAATACATCAGCTGCACCTTAGCTCTGTAAACCTTTGCTTTTCCCCCATGCCTGAAGGTACGCTGCCATAACTTACCTTCCTAGTTCTGCCTTGTGCCTGACAAGTCATTTCTGGTAATGGAAATTCAATCTCCTTCCTGGCCGGGGTATTTTCTTAGTGTATTAAGAATAACTGAATTCTAGGGGTGAAATTGTCCTTGACATCGATATTAGCTATCTAATCATCATTGATTCATTTTTTATGCCTTCATGATAATTGAATAAATTCATTTACAAATAATAAAAAATACCTTGTCCATGTGTCCCGAGTTTTCATTGGATAAATATCACTACTACATCTTGTAGACATGTCAGTGTTACACCCCACATCTCCTCCTCCACTAACTTTCTGGCTGCTCTCACATCATTGTCTATTAGCAGTCTGCATTAACCTGCAAACCACTCCTTAGTCAACCCTGAATGATGGCTGGGCACCTGGAAAGTTGTATTTTTCTTGAGTTTTCACAAATTGTATGGCAATTTAAATACACTAACGACACCTTATTTAGAGGAACCATTGAGTAAATTTGTTTGAAGTGAGAAATCACATTTTACAAAAGAATTACTAATTTACTTTGTTTTAAAATCAATTTTTGCAGACAATGTCTTTAAAGGAGGACATAAGTGTATTTGGAGTGAAATAAGAAGGACAGTGGTTCTATCCTGTCCGCATAAGATCACCTTATTCCTCTTCATAGAACTAATCAGAGTTATAATTTATAATTTAATGTTTCTTTAAAAAAGTCTTTATTTGTATCTACAGTCCTTGCAAACACCATGAAGGATCATGTCTTTTTCTTCCCCGCTCATCATTGTATTTTCAGCACGAGCACAGTATCTGGTACATAGAGATTTCATTAAGTATTTGTTGATTGTATGGATGACTATAGATGTGTCAAGGGAGTTCAACTAAGAATGGTCTCTTTTTGTTCTTCTATTTCATAGAAAATTCCTTCTAATTTTTTCTGTATGTCAAAGATCATCTCAGGTGGCCAAAGGGAAGTCTGCTTAGAGATGCAAACCACCCACATCTATGTCTATAAAATATTGGAGGACAATTGGAGGATGTATTCAAACACTAGTACTCCTTTCTTTCAAACACCTGTTACTTGTGAACATTTTTCAATGTTCTAAGGAAAAAAGTTGGCCACTTTGTAATATCCCCTCACTTTTGTACACTTTGATCAGTTTTTTAGGGTTTATATAGTCACACAATTTGGTAACCTTTTTAGGCTTTATAAGTCTACATGTTTCATGCTTCCAATTAGGAAAGTCATAAAATGTAGTTTACCTCTTTTGTCATGAGAAAATAATTGGTTGCCAAGAAAATCTTCGTTTTGGAGAATGAAATAATTATCCACTTTAAGTAGATACAATGTAAGACATTTCTTTTTTCCCCTGGTTTCTACCCCACTGTTCTGCCAAAATAATTGAAATTCTATTACATTAGAGTGGGTGCTTTTTAAAAATCTAAGTATGTTGAAATATGCACTGACACCTTATTAATTTGTCATTTTTCGTGTTGGAAAATAGAAACAGAAAACTGAGGGGATGGGTCACAGGACAGAGCAGTGTTGATGGAGTGCTGGGAGAAAGCTAGGTCTACAAGCAGAGGGTGCTACCGAGGCTGCTTGGTAATAAAATAAACATATCGCACTTACCGGTAATGACTGAGTTGACCCTAGAAGATAAAGTAGCAGAATCATAGTCTTCATGTTTCAAAAGAATACCTATAATAACAAAATAGTATCACTCTTTCACTCTATTTTTTCCCCTGTTCAGAGAAGACATTTTTTAAAAAATTCTATTTGAAATAAGACCAATTAATGTTACCTTTCTCCCCACTTGGCAAAATGTACAGGTGTGATGATATTCAAAGTCCTGTTGATTGCTCCAGTGTCTGTGGTGGATAATTTTACCCTTGGATGAGTTGTAAGTTTGTAGGGGAATTTAAACTCAATTCCAGGAGGCTGGCAACTGAGAGGCCAATCAGGACTTGGCTTCTGTGAAATCATTTGGTTTCTTTCATTTCCCAACACTTCATTAGGTGAGTTATTAGCTGCAGACATCATATTACCCAATGTCTACCATTTGAATAGAGGGTATTTCAGGAAGACATACTTTGTGCAATTAAGAAAAGTGCAGACAATAAAAAAAAATTACAATCCTCTTTTACCTCCTCTTTCCCAAATGACTTCCCAGATGTACCTGTTTTGTCATGTTTCTATGAGCATACAAATCAGACATCAGAATGTTCAGCTTTGTGCATAGTTAAAAAATTAAGCCTGTTATGTATTGCTTTGCAACTTTATTTATTTGACAAATAATGGATAACTTCATGTGTTAGTACATACAGTTTTATTTCGTTTATTTAATGGTTTTGTTATATTATATAACATTTCTTTTTGATGGACATTTCATCCATTTTCATTGTATTTTATAATGATAAAAGTGGAACAATGGACATCGTTATAAAACTTGTCTCACAGATGTGGGGGTATTTCTGTAGGTTTTATTCCTAGAAGTGCTGAATTAAAGGATATCTGTTTTAAGTTTCAATAGATAAGGCTGAATTGCCATCCAGAAATGTTGAATGTATGCTTTATTTTAAACAAGGAAAAAGATACTTAAACTTGAGCAAAACATAGATGCTCACTGAAGTCTGTTTCACAACAAAAGAACAACTAAGCGCTCACCATAGGTTTTCAGGGCCCCAGGCTGCACCAGGAGTTTTGGAGATTTGCTATTTCTTTAATGATGTTTTTAATGGACTTGGTTGGGTCTATTCAACAACTTCTGAGTACAAATCAATGATGAATTTATGTCATGCCAGGATTTCATGTGGAAGGCCATCATAGCTTTGGCTTATTTAAAGGTCCAGAAAGTCTATCGGTGGAAAATTGTCTGAGATAATGAGGCATTTTAAAAAGCTTTTCTGTAACTACTCCTTTCATGACACAATCATATTTTGTTATTGTCAGGTGGGAATGGGAATACTGTCTAGGTGGGGAAACAAAGGCTAGCAAGTTTGGTAAGTGACAGTGATAAGAGCATATGCAGGTATGAAGGAGAGCATGGTTAATTTTGGTGGGGGCAGAAAAGCAGAACAAGTTTCACAAGGAGGTGACCCTCAGCTGGGTTTTGAAGGGTAAGAAAAAATTCGTTAAGAAGGCAAACAGAGCATCTAGGCAGACCAAGCGTCCAGGTATGGAGGGATGATGTTATTGGTTCCTATCACTAGAACAAAATGGAGTAAGGGTAAAAGTAGGGGATGGGGTTGGAGAGATACCTAATTTTGACTTTCTGTAACATTTTGTTAGTTTCTATTACTCATGGTGGCACTTAATTAGACATTATTTTATAGGGCTCCTTCATTATTGCTCAATTGTATATTTCTGTTGAATTGGAGGGAGAGTCCTTAAGGCCTTGTCTTATATTTGTTTAGCGTTTTCTATGTTAATGATATTGCAAAGCACTAGATGGTCACCACATGTCAATGAATATATGATAGAGGTATATGCTATTGGGAGTTGGAACAAGGTTGAGGTGAAAGAAAACTTCAGAGAAGAGATGGGGTTCTAGGGGCGCCTGGGTGGCTCAGTGGGTTGAAGCCTCTGCCTTTGGCTCTGGTCATGATCCCAGGGTCCTTGAATCAAGCCCTGCATCGGGCCCTCTGCTCAGCAGGGAGCCTGCTTCCCTCTCTCCCTGCCTGCCTCTCTGCCTACTTGTGATCTCTCTCTGTCAAATAAATAAATAAAATCTTAAACAAAAAAAGAGATGGGGTTCTAAATGGATTTGAAGAACAAATATAATCGGTGAGACAGAATAACCTGAAAAGTGGTTGTGACTGAGAGGAGCAAAGGAACATAAGTGCTAAAGGATGTGAAAGGGAAGCAAATTTATTTATGTTTTCACAGGCTTTCAATACGTTCATTGATTCCTTTACCAACTCAACTCATTCTTCCAACCCATAATTCAGATATATTCACTCTGTGTTCTGCTAAATTGTTTTAGTCCCTGGAAATGCAAGTGGATGGAAGGGGTAAAAATCCCTGTCCTCATGAGCTTACATGTTGGTGGGGGGAAACATGAAATATTCAAGCATCCCGTGTGACCCTAGGAAATCCACTTTCCCGGGGCATTATTTTCAATGAATGTGTGGGAGGTTGGACTTCCTTAATTTTCTTTTATTTTTCTCTTTGGTGGAGGCAGAGTTGAATTTTATGGCACTGTTGTTTCTGGAGTTAGGTGAGGAGACTCATGCTCTATCTCCAGCCTAGAGCACAGTGCTAGGGAACAGCTCGTTGAAACTGAATCACCGTGACTGTCTGGGCATCAGGTGATTCAGGGAACTGACAGTGCTTCCAGTTCCTGTTGTAGACGTGCCTCCAACCCCAGGTGGGAATGGGACACGCCCTAGCTGGCAAACTGAGCAGTGAGGTTTGATCCAAATAAACACGGGAATTCAGAAGGCTGAGTAATTTCTTAGACAAGAAATTTTAAGTCTGAAAGCAGATAACTTGCAATAATATAATTATGGAGTTGAGTGTTAAGAAATATGCACTATAAAAGGAAAGAAATCCCTAAATCATTAAAAAGAGAGACATGAGCAAAAACAATGAGGACACTTATTTTTCTGAAACAACTTAGGATATTAGAATTCATTAAAGCATTTTATGAGCTGCAGATGACATTTTTGGACCAGTAGGTCTAGACGTTCCTTGATCTTTCTAATTGGTTTTAGTTTCATTTCTTTTGGTTATGGATTTCTTTGAGAATCTGATTGAATTTATACACCATCTTCTCAGAGAAGTATATATATGCTCCTGAACACAATGTGTATTAGAAAACTTTAGAGGCTTCATGGGTCTCCTGATAGCTCAGGTTAAGAGTCTTTGGTTTAATTTTTTTATTTTATTATTACTGTTTTTTTAAGAGAGAGAGAGAGAGAGAGAGCGAGTGCTTGCGCATGAGCAGGGCAGGGGGAGGGACAAAGGGAGAGGGAGAGAGAATCTTGACAGGCTCCATGCCCAGTGTGAGGCCCAATGCAGGGCTTGATCACATGACCCTGAGATCATTAACTGAGCTGAAATCAAGAGGCAGACCCTAACTGACTAAGCCACTGAGACACCCCAAGAATCTCTGGTTTAGAGGGATCTTTGTGGAAACGTTTAGTGATCCTTGAACCCATACCCAAGGTTCTCTTTGTGAATCCCAGTCTGAGACCCTGTTTGGCAATGAAAGAACAAGGCAAATTGGAAACCTTTCTCTCCTTCCACCACTTGATAATTCAGCCACAGAGTTAAAAGTATTTGAGATATTGTTAGTCATTAGTTATATTGATAGCTTGACTGGATAAGTCACATAAATGAATAAACAGAAACTGTAGTCAGCATTCCCTGATTCAGGGTAATTTCAGTGATATCTATTAAGCATAAACATAAATTGTACAGGGACAAGCATTGTACTAGATGTTAGGACAAAAAATGAATAAGACAGAAGCTCTGCTTGAATTCTTGTGAAAAATACAGCGAGTATCTGGTCACTGTCCAATGTTCAGGTGAAATGGAAGTGTGCACTAGAGGTCAGAAGACAGCCCTAGTGCATTTTCATCTTGTTTCTCTTCATTGGTTCATGGTATTCCCTCTGCCAAGGTCTCCCTTTTCATCTTTGCTGTCAATGTTGTACTCATCCTTAAAGATCCCTCTTTATGCTACAATCTCCATTAAGTCTCTCTTTCTTCCCCAATCTGGAGTCATCCTTTTCCTTTTCTGAAAACTTCTGGGAATTTGTGACTTTCTTATTTATTTAATTCTACTTTGGCTGATGTTATTGTTATTTGTGCTTATGTTCTGAGATACTAGATTTCAAGTTAGATCTTGTTACTGTAGCATTCAGCAAAGTATCTTGCATGTGGTAGAACAATTAATATGAGTTGAGTTGAATTAAGTCTTGCTTGACTTTGTCAATTTACAAAATTCTTTAAAGTCGTTGACCAGTTTGGGGCACCTTGGTGACTCAGTTGTACGTGTCTGCCTTCAGCTCTGGTCACGATCCCAGAGTCCTGGGATTGAGCCTCACATTGGGGCGGGGGAGGGTGTTCCTGCTCAGCGGGGAGCCTGCTTTGCTTCCCCCCTTCCACTCTCCCTGCTTGTGTTCTCTCTCTTCCCTGAATCTCTCCCTGTCAAATAAGTAAATAAAATCTTAAAAAAAAAAAAAATTGTTGACCAGTTTGTAGGATCCCAGAGGAAATCAGGGCATATACTTGGAAATCTGCAGAACAGCCACTTCTTTTTTTTTTTAAAGACTTATTATTTATTTATTTGACAGAGAGATAGAGATTACAAGTAAGCAGAGAAGCAGATGGAGGGAGAGGGAGAAGCAGATGGAGGGAGAGGGAGAAGCAGGTTCCCTGCTGAGCAAGGAGCCCGATGTGGGGCTCTATCCTGGACACTGAGATCATGACCTGGGCCGAAGGCAGAGGCTTAACCCACTGAGCCACCCAGGCGCCCCAGAAGAGCCACTTTTTAATGGAATAGTTTTGTGAATGCCAGAGGGACAGCCACTAAATTAAATATACCTAAAATTCTGCTAAATAGAATATAACTATATAAGTTTTTATTAATCTTTTGAAGTTCTGTGCAGATTAGGCATCAGAAAAACATGTCTAGACTTCTTGGCATAGTGGGTTGTCCCTTGTCAGAGGTGCTAAAGTTCAGTATGTAATGTCATTATAAATGCTGGATATGTTGTATCAGTTTTCTACATTCTACAATGTGGAGCTCAATAGATTGTGGTAACATTCTACTCTGTTTATGTAGAAAAATTTCAACTCAACATTAAAAGTATATATTTAT